TTTCTTAGTTTAGACCCGTATTTTATTGCTAGTTTGGGTTTGAGTCAATGAATAGATACTGAGTATATAAATAATCTCTTTCTTTTTTTTTTTCTTTTTTTGGTAAGGTAATAATCTATTTCTTTTGTAATTGAAAATTATAACAAAGAGGTGGGATGTGCTAATTATAGTGAAATCCTCTGCTGGATGTAGCCCTAGTTTAAGGGTGAATCGGGATAAAATCTCGTGTCTCGATTTTTCTTTCCCGCTTTTACTCTCTATTTCATTGTGTTTGTGCAATGAGCTCAATTCGTACCATTATTAAAGGGATCATAGAGACATCATGACTCATGATTCCGAAGGGCATTGGTCAAGGATACCTGATGAGAACAAGGTTTCGAAGCACCCACTCGAGTAAAGTTAAACCTACGAACGTGATGACCGTATATTATATGATCAGTGAAGAAACCTCCGAAGGATTATTGACAAGATAGTTATAATTTTGATTACACGATAAAGACAGAATTTCATTTTACTAAACAAAGAAAAGTCAAATCCTATCAGTGTCTAGTAATCAATTATATTCAAGTAATGTTTAGATCAAAGTTTCTCCTCATTATTAATTATTTTGCAGTATTCAAATCGGTTATCGTGTAATGACAAAAAAAATTTAAGAATAAAAGTAGCATATACCACCGGTGCAAAAAAAAAAAAATTGCTATATAGCCCGGCCTTATACATCATCGATTCAAGAGAGCAGGTAGTTATATTCCTCAAATTCAACATGGGTAAGGCTGTCTGTGTCAAATTTCCTTGATGCAAGCAGTATATGCTATATTTTTTCCTTTTTCCAATGCCATGGTTGAGGAACGCAGTTGGAGGAAATTTAATATTGTTCAGGGCCAAGAGAAAGTGTAGGTCCAACGTTACTGGGCCTTCTAATTTATACGAGTCAGATCTGATGATGTAATGTTCAGAGTTCAGACCACCTTAGTGTCCAACATGTTCTCTCAAACATATCTCTCTCTATATTTTTTTCTTTTATGGTTGATTAAAATTAGAAATGAAGTCTAGAGAATCGTGAGACGAAATTTTACAGTTGAGGTGGACAAAGATGGAGAAATATATAGAGCTTAGTACTTATTTACTTTAGGAATCTCAATCAGGTAAGCTAGCTAATTTCAAAAGAGTACGCGACTCTTTATTTCCTATTCTTGGTGGGAGTCGGCGAGATTTGCATTGATTAAATAATTCATACTTGGAAAAAGGAGAAATTCTCCATTTCGGAGATGATTGTCCTTTTAGTACATGATGTTGCATACTCTTAGTCCGGAGCAGTCAAAAGGCCAAATTTATTGAACATAGGTCTCATTGTTTGGGCTAGGTATTTTAATAGCCATTCAAGTTGTGACTTGGCTATAATGTATACTTTAACGACCATGAGATTATTACGATGACTATGACATAACATTCTCATTATTGAAATCCATTAGTGACGGTAGGAGCATTCATTCATCATGCTGGAGTAACCCTGTAGAATGAGCAATCTCCTTTTCATATGTCTAGTTTAGGGCATTGTTTGACCTAGGTATTGTCTGATGGTCCATGGGCTTACCTAGGTCCAATGGATTGAAAAACATTATTTAACAGGGTTTCGGCAATAATTTGTAATTTTAAAACCTGATCCAACCGGGTTCGGCTTGGGTCGGTCTGTCCTGTTTTTCTGGACGGACCGGGTCCTAGACAACACGTTAGGCCTCACCCGATCCCCTACGGCATGCCCAGTGATCAGCTGTAGTTGGCACCACCCAATGTTTAGTAGGGTTAGAGTCTATAGGGATGGGGCCTCGAGAGGTATTACTAAGATAGCATCCATGGGAGGTTTGCTGTGAACAAGGATAGAAACTTGATTGGCAGATGTTCTGGTCAGTTATGAATTCGTTCCTCGATAAAGGTGGAATTTTTGGGCAATCCATTAGGGGGGTGCGTCAAAGTTGGGCTATTGGCAGTCATTAAGGAAAGAGACTCATGTACATATTGGAGATCCTTAACAAGGGAAAAATCATCCTAATCACATGGATTGAATGGTCATCAATATTAAGTGTCCAATCTTTTAGATTAGGGTCGCGGTGACGATCGTTTCGAAGAACTTAAGCACACACTCAATATGAGATAATGCTACTCTCGCAACATTGATTGCACATCAGGACAGTGCATAGAAAATTTGCTAAGTTTCCTTAATTGGTTACGTAACAGATGTCTTTGAGGCACTCTTCAATAAGATCCTTATCAAGAAAATGGATACTCTTACAACAATACGAACGCCGGTTTTAGGTATATTTAGTATACTTTGACTTAGCCACCCTGCCTAAGTGAATGCGAAGGAAAAGTTGACAACAATGTCATATGAATGGCTATTTTGTTTTGTTCTCAAGGGAGATGAATCTCTTATGCTCGACGGACCTCGGCACAAGATGCCACTAACTCAGTTTGGTCCATGAGGATGATAGCTTTCTTCTGGCAGAATGTTAAAAGTTTTCATGCATGTCTCTGCTGAGGCTGAAGAATATCTGGTAAAGAAGAGAAGGACATGCAGGTCTCACTTGAGGCCGAAACTCATTCAAACAAAATGAAGTCCCTCCTTTATTACTCTAAAACCTCAATTCATCGTCCAAAAGCAAACAGAGAGGAACATCAAACATCACAGACATTCCTACATTTCAACAGTAAACGAAAACACGGGTTCCAGATATTGCGATCTGTCTCGAAGTTGAAGACAGTGAAGAGTTATTTGATTGAAGCATACTTTAAGCGATGCCCTGTGGTTCAAGTCGAGGCAGGTCTCTGGATGATAAAGGCCATGCACTGACCTTGATTCTTGTTGTCAAATGCCAGGCAGCGAATGTAGGCATTTGGGTAGGCCTTCTTGCACTCGCTGATCTCGTGAAGAACTTGGGAGGCATCGTTGCAGCCGAACATCGGCAGCTTCCAGAGCGTCCAATACCGCCCATCGTAGTACCCCGGCATCCTGCTATTTTCTCTATGCACGTACCCCACCTTCCATAAGAAAGATTGTCAATTCAGAACACAGATCACTGACAGAATCGACTTGCCAAAAAGTTCCGATCTGAAGATTTGATACAGAAAGATCGTCCTCTTTTTTTAGTACGCAGGTAATAGGATGACTCATAACAAGCCCGATTGGATCAGCTGATTAGGATTGTAAAGTTTGAACTTTGGCCAAATGTCTTGAAAATATTGATTCCCTTTATCTTGCTCTGTATTAGAATGAATCGAATTACTGTTTACGGAAGTACACAGATTATGGGATTTGTGATCTTAGTTACATCAAGTACCTCATCGAATTCGAGGCACGGGACCCATCCTTTCTTGAGCATGTAGTCGATCTCCTTGGCAACTGAATCATCTGATAGAGGAGGGAGGTAGGAAAGGGTCTCGAACTTCTTGTTGTTGATCGGATTCCATGTCTATGGAATGAAACAAAAGCAATTGAATTGCAAAAAGAGGAAGCTGATGGTTAAATGGCATGAACTTCAGTGCAAGCCCAGAAGAGCTTTAGATCATTTGATTATCTGGGCAAGCATTACCTTCATGCAGTAAGTTTTAGAACCATTGGAGACAGTTCTCTGGCGCCATCGTGCGGAATCTTTTACCGGGAGCAGCTTAGATTGCTTTAGTTGCAAGCCGACGTAGCCTGATACGACGACCGGAGCGGTAAAAATCGATGCAGACATACTCAACGAGTACCCAAAGGAAGAGTTTCTGAGATCGGTGAGAGAACAGTGGAATGAGCAGCTGTTACAAAAAGCTTTGGGATCAAGAGCTAAATCCTGTGGGTAGTGCACATGGTTTCTGTAATAAAGGACAAGCCTGGTCGGCGAAGCTGCTCATGGTTTTGGGGTTGTCCTGGAAGGCAAAAAGGTACGAGGTCCACGAGGGGATGGTGAATTTTTCCATATATAATAAGGCTTCGATGTTACCACCACTTGAGCTGCTGCTTGTTTTTTATTACTAGTTGATCGCTCGGCTCCTCTGTGCACCTTGGACTTTTCTTTGGTGCTTTAAGGCTGTATCTTCACCCTATTTTATTCAACCACCTCCGTTGGTTCCAGCTTAAAATAAGGATGCCTTGTTCCAACTGCACAAGCTAAGTTGGTCACAATCTACCAGTTGAACTTCGCTGCACATCACTGACCAATAGCTAAAAACAAGTTTAAGACCCCGTTTGTTTCACGAAAAATAAATGATTTGAAAAACTTTTTCCTAAAAATGATTGATCTTGTATCGCTTATAAAAATAAATTAAAGAAAAATATTTTTATCTTACACGAAAAAGTTTGGACAAATTTTGTTGATAATGACCAAAAATTTCATTGACTAATTATTTTAAACGACACAAACGATTATTTATAGGAAAATATTTTATAAATCATTCATTTTCTGCAAAACAAACGCACCCTAATTGACAACAAATAAGGAAACCAAATCTGGAATCACTTTGGCTTCAGTATTGTAGTTCCAGAACTAAGGTGATCTGCTACTGCCACTTACTAAGGAGCCTACTAAGGAAAGCACAGGTCACTGTGTCTAGCAGCAGTTTTATCTCCAACTTCATGAGAACCATTGGCACGGTTCAAATAGACCGTGGATGGAGAGATTAGAACAGGAAACCTAGCCGGAGCTCATTTCTTATGCAAACATTACTTCTACTCAAGTGCCATACTAATTCACTTACAGCAGAACAAAGAGCCAAGGCCTAATACTTTGATCCAAACCAACTGAAACTCGGAACAAATTTCAAAACCAAAATGTTGACGCATGTTACAACCAAAGACTATCCCTAAGCCCTCTTGTCGAGTATCATGTCCTCCCTAAAACTTGAGTATCCACGAGCCTTTAAAAGCAATTGTCGATGTCTAGTTAGGCGTGTCGCAAGTTGCAACCGCCAAAAGAATGAGTGGAGGGAGAGAGGAAAAACAAAATAGGATGAAGGCACCATAGTAGCAAGAAGGATTATCAGAAAAGAGATGTCCTCCACGATAAGTAAAGGAACCACTGTAGGATTAATGTCAATGTTCTGTAAGGCGAAAGAAAATCTACTTAAATGCATTCTACCGCTGTTACAGCATCGCATAATAACAAATGCTGGTGATAAAAATAATTTTAACAATGTTCATATGAAGAATCATGATTCAAAGAATTTCAGTGAGGGAAATCTAGCGGATCCAAAATTAAAAGCATCAACCCCCATTGAAAAGAAACTTCAATGCCAGAGCTTCATGCAAAACCCAGACGGCACAACGGACGACGCTTTGCTTGATATGCAGTCTGAGAATGCGTCAATGAGCTGCTCCGCAAGAGACTTGGGATCTCCTATCAAGGTATCTATAAACACCTTCACAACCCTTACCTCCTGTGGCGTTGCTCTCAAGCTATACCAAGTAAGAAATTTCTGCCTGAAGTTCTTCTCAATATGTCCCTCGCACTCTAGCCATCTAATCTTTTTCACATAATACTCAAAATCCCTATCAGAATGAGCATTCGCTTCACATTCCTCATCCCGACTTTCACTGCTTCGCTTTTTCGATGTACTTCCATCTTGCGGACCATCTCCTTTCCCATTCCCAATTTCCAAATCTCTGTTGCTCGGTTTCAATCTCCCGATCCTTCCTGGTCCGTCCCTAGAAGTCTCCAGCTTACAAGGAGTAATGGGTAGTGCAGATTCTAAGCTCCCACCGAATGGGACACATTCCATGTTAGCCCTAGCATGAATATTCGACCCATTATCAATGTTCATTGCCTCAATCATTCTGTCTTCTTGTGTGTGCTTGTTTTGTTCGTTCAGGATATGGGGCAACGATCCGGTGATCCGCATATCACAGTTCTCCTCCAACAAGGGTACTTCATTAAGACCAACTTCTTGACGTAATCCTGTGCCATCAACAGCAGAATCAGGTACCAATTTCTCAGAATCCTTGCCATAAGATAGATGCTTCATTAATTGACTATCCATTTTGGTGTCACACGTACCGATGTTATTACTTTCATCTTCCACCGATGAAGGATTGGAAAGGCTACTACAATTTGTAGCCGGGCTTTGGCTTCTTTCTGCTACTGAATGGTCTGAGGCTTCATCAGCAACAGCACTCGTCGAAGCCCTAACTTCACATGTGCCAGATTGGCATGTACCATCAAATGCTGCAACTTTGAAAGAATACTCAGTGTCCGGATTTAGTCCTGAGACTATAAACCTCATATTTGGGGCCAGGGTGCATGTGGCTTCTTCTGGATATTGTACATCGTATGATTTCCGATGCCACAAGGTGTAATGAAGAGAATCATCAGGTGAATGATCTTCGCAACACAACATCACAGTGAGAGATGTAGTGGTAATATTTTCAAATCTGACCATGTCTGGGACTATCAAAGTCAAGCCTGTGCAATGTACACAAAACATATATTTTGAACTTTAGCCAGTTCCGTGACAAAGGATATCAGACAATCCAAGTTCCTTACAATGAAACAATGTTACTCGCAGAAGTAAATAGATGCAGCATTTGTGACGAGATAGACAGGATATAAGATCCTTCGTCAAGGATATCATCCGAAGCAATCACCATGTAAACAAAAATCCAGATATGATTTTCCAAGCACAATCATCATCTACAAATGGAAGATAGGATACCTTGTCTCGCAGGAATTGGAGATGAATGCAAGTTGGTGAGAGAAAGCATGGAGTTCAGCGCATCCACAGCATAAGCGCATAACTTCTGAACCTCCGGTCCTGTCGAAAGCCTATTAACAATTCCCCTACCGATTTTTGCAGGTAAACCAGTCAGAGGACCTACGTCAGCCTCAAGCTTCTTCACAGCCTCATCGACAATTTCGTAACACTTCCGATACTTCTCTGTTCCCTTAAGAAGCTTCTTGCTTAAAGCTACACGGTAGCATAGTATATCCACTCGTCTGGTATCTCTCGCAGTCATCAATTGCTTTCTCCAACATCTGTTACAGAACTAACACGACCGCAATCAGCTCAAACTTTGTTGAATTCGCACACAACAACCATAATTTGATATTCTCAAACCTCATTCTTACAACATTCACAGTAGAGGTGCAGTTTCCCTATGATCTCACAATCAATTAGGCAATGATATCTGAAAAACCACCATCTGGCAGTCACCATTTTCTTGACTGCATCAGGAAACACTCAAGAATAGCTAAAGGGCTTCAGACCGATTCAAGAGAGAGTACATGAAAATGAATACCACAGCACACCACAGCACCATCGAAATATGGCAAGATCCAATATATCACTCATGTTCCTTCAAAACGGACCACTATTTATGAAGCCCCACCCTCAAATAAAAAGAATAAGAAACTCCTCTTTGACAAATAAATTGCAGAAGCTAATTTTCTCTCTAATACATGCGCATAATTCCACAGGAATCACATCATTTCCCACATCAGATACTTAGCATCAGTTCACATCAAAGGGGAAAACCTCATCAGTGCATATTCTCCTAACTCTGAAATTTGATTGTTTCACATAACATAATTCACCAATGGAAATTTTTAAAATAAAAAATGAAAGGGTCATTGATTGCGGACAATCCAAATGAAGAACACCAGAAAGTAAGCTTGACAAAAAGCAAAAGTAACTTTGTCAGGAGTAATTGACAATCATAGGAATTGCCTGGAGGATCTGACAAGAAATATGTGGTGCCTCTTGGATCAGTAACAACTGGGGGTAGTGGTACCATTGCGAGAGCAACTAGTTAGGAACAGAAAGGAGATCCACCAACAGATTCCTCCCAGTTGAGTACGAGCTTAAAAGGACTAGGCTCGAGAAGCAATTGTGTCTCGCAATATAATTGCTAAGACAATTGATACATACATGTAATCTCATGAATTTGAATGGTGTTGTCTTTCCATCAGCTAAGTTGGAGACTGACTATAGCTAATGTCTCATCTGCGTGGTCCACCATGCCCCCAACACAAGCAAGGATTCTCCTAATAATACTCGGTATTCCAAAATCCGTAATTTGGACTCCAGCACTCAACCAATGTAACCATAGACAACTATAATCTGGAGAAATTATCAGCCTTCAATAGGAAGCATTACTATATCAAGGTCCTCAACATAAAAGCTGATCTGTTATACCCCCACTCGTTTAACACCCTCGTCAACTAGAAAACAACCCATCTAACATTTGGTGAGCGACACAACAGCAACGTCATTGTCTCTGTGGAGTGTGGAGGATAATGTCATTAACTTTGTGCAATCTAGTTGAGAATTTGTTCAAAGAGATATCAATTGCGAACGTGAATCATGTGATCATGCGCAAATAAAACAGAGTTGGCGAAGGGGACACCCCATCAAAGAAAAGCGAACTTCACGCTGATTCACACAGTTCATCAGGAGGCACAGACAGGCTCAAAATGTAGGAAAAGGGATCTTACCCGAGCAGATCATTTACTTTTCCACAAGATACACAAGAAAAGCACCCATCAACTCCTCTATGCCGCCCATCCATTGCAATGCCAGACTGTTCATGTTTCAAAGCACATTCAAGGTGGCATGACATGCCACATGAATCACCATGAGATGGAGGCTCTGAACTGCAAATCAGCCAAAGACTAGGATCCTTGTTGTCATCATACAGAAAACATATGCAGCATGAACACCTCTTGCAGAATCGGTCCTCTCTGCTTAAGGTAGCTTTGCAGGCTGAGTTCTTGCAAAATACAATAGTGCCAGTGTCACCACCAGCATTGTTGATCGGAACATTGGTCGATGTAACCGGAAGTCGAGATGGATTTTCAGCTTTTCTCTGCCTCTTCAAAGATCTCGGGCTAGGCGAAGATTGTTGTTCTTGCTCCGCTGTGGCCTCGGCTGCGCCTAATTTCTTTTCAGATATGATTTTCAAAAGTTGCTCTATGATTTTCAGCTTCGTCAGACCCGTATATTTCCTTTCTTTTCCCATCTCCGCACAGAGGACCTGGAGAATGTCCTGCCGGCTCCATGCTTGGAGTGCTTCGGCGGCACCATTTGGCCACTTGGACACATGGTGAACGAGCTCTCTCTTCTCGTCCACACTCAACTTGCTGCATTTAGACGGGTCAAGCAGATCTTCTGGAAGATAAAAGAGAAAATGAGATGACCACAAAACTGCAGAATTAAAAGAGCGCAACTCCCCGAAAAGGTCCTCAAAAAATAAGCAAGAAAGAGAAAAAACATAATGCTAATTCCCCACAAATTAGAATGATCATTATCATCGTTTACAAAATGACACAATTACCATCACCCTTAGTCCAAGATTGAGTCACTGTTTCATTTTCATACCAAAACTCCAAAAAAAGTCAAACCAAAATCGGTATTATTGGCATTGGAACAAAAGTCCTCAGCTGATGAGGAGAAACCAAACCGCAAGCTAGAAAAATACAAACTTTTCAGATTACCCATATAAAACAGCACTGTAGGAGAAAGAATTCGAGAGGAATGGAAAGATCGATGATTACCAACAACTCTTACGAAGCAAACCGGAAGCTTTGATTGACAATGAACGCGCCGGAATCACACATTAACACGCCATTCATGTGCCAAACAATCATGCAACTCGAGCAATTCCAGAAAAGCCAAGGCCAACCGAAACCGTCGATGACCAGCCTCAAAAACCAACTCCAAAGAACACGGCAACACAACACCCAGAACCCAATCCAGGCACAAATTTCCGACACCGGAGATGAATCGAGCGACAAAAGTTAATTACCTTCGAAGGAAGTGTCCGTGGACATTGCTGGACGAGAAAGAAACCGATCGGCTCACCGCATTACAACGATAAAAATCCAAACTTTCACGCCCTGCAAAGGAAGGAAACCCACAGGACGCACTGAATAAGGAGCAAAAGCGGTAAAAAAGAAACCAAATTCCACGAGAATAAAATAAAGCCCAGGAGAGAAAGAAAAAGGGAGGGGGGGCGGGGGGGATTGTGGGTATTGCGGGTGGGATAGAGAGAGAGAGAGATTGGAAAGGAGGGAGGGGGAACCGCAAGTACCGAGAAAAGGACGCATGAAATTCTGCCATGAGAACAAACAAACCCATGAACGACCCTCCCTCTCTCTCTCTCCCTCCCTCTCGCTCTATCTCGCACAAACGCACAGGCGCAGGCACGCGAGAAGGTGAAGGAAGGAAGGAGGAGAAGGAATCGTGGCTCGTGCTGCCGTTTGGGTTCCGGGAGGACCCAAAGACCGAAGCAGGACAAGTGGGGGGAGGAGATTCGATGAGGACTGGTTCTTGCAGAGAGAGAGAGAGAGAGGAGAAAAGCAGAGGAAACGAGGCTAGAGAAACGGAGTCATGGAGGCTAACGCACACGCAGGCAAAGGCCAAGATAAAAAAAAAGCGGCTGATGATGCATCATTATGCATGTCCGCTTCCTCCCCTTCCCTTCCTCCCCCTTTTCCGATTTTCCCCCCCCCCCTTTTGTTTTTTTTTTTTTTACCTCAATCGTTTCTCTTCTTATGTGTTATTCGGGGTTAACACCGTGGAAAATCTAAACCCGGTATACCGGTGACAAATTTACTTGACAAATTTACCCTTTATTAGTTTTCGTTAAATTTTACCGTCAAATTGCTAAGTTGGATGACACGTGACAGTTGACGGATGTACCGGTCTGGGATTTTACTCTCTGTTTGTCACAGGTGTACCGGTTTGTGGTTTTTCGTGGTACTAATCTAATTTAACGGAAACTAATATAGAGTAAATTTATCACAAGCGTATTAGTTTTTTTAGTAGTTAAAAATTAGTTTGAAGTAATTTGTCACGGGTGTATTTGTCACACATGTACCAATTTAGAGCTTTTCATGGTGTTAACCCTATTATTCATTGCTAATTATCCTTTTTCTTTTTTCTCATGTATGAGAATCTATTGCCATTCTTAACAAGTGATGTCACCGCTTGAAATTCAAAATTGGGTCATCCAATGCTAGTAATAACAATAGAAAGATTAGAAGTGAGCGGTTCCCGATCCGGTCCGGTCCAACCCAAGAACTAAGCACCGGACCGGGAGGACCGGTTCCCAATTTATAGGATCGGGGACCGGACCGGCTAGTCTTGGGACTATGGCAGTCCGGTCTGGTCCGATCCGGTTCCAATGGGACCAATCACTTATTAGTAAAGGCAAATGGGAATCGGGGAAATTAGATTAGGCTTTCTATTTTTTTCAAAAATTTAAAAAGTAAATAAATTTATATGTGAAAAAATTAGAAATATATATATTTATCGATCCGATCCGGTCCGGTTCGCACCCTAGAACCGGGAACCGGACCGCCCGGAAACCGATTCCACTTTTAGGAACCGGGAACCGGACCGATATTCCCGAGAACCGGACCAAACTGGTCGGTCTAGTCAAGTCCGGTCCCAATTTGGGCGGTCTATCATGCTCATCCCTAAGAAAGATGATCCATAGATATAAGGACAAGAATAAGAATAATACTAAAGTCACGTCGATTCATATTGCAAAATCGGTATATAAAGTCATCCACGAGCTCTCAACAATTTACCGGATAAATTGGTATAAGAATGATTTAGATAAATTCATTACAAGACATAATCGAATGACCAAAGATAAGTATAAAAATCATCGTGATTTGTACCTTTACCGGAAGTCTTGCGATTCACTAATTTAAAGGTTTCATTTACCATCTATCACACACCCAAACAGATATATATTGAAATTCAACAATAACATAGCAATAATAATACAATGTAAAAATGTAATTTGAATGTGTGGGGTTTGCATTTCCTTGAATTTTTTTTTTTTGTCACGGTATCCTACTAACAAGACTCCGATGCACGATAAGAATCCCACTTTTAAAGTGTGGAGTCGTCCCAACACGGCGAGACCCACCACAAATCAAAATGGGAAACCAATACATTTTGCGATTCTCTTCGCCCCCATAACCTACTAACAGACATTAGTGTTTAAAACACCCAATGCGGTGTAAACTAATCCCACCCATTGCATTGGGTTATAAGTCATACTAAGAGGAAGAGAGGCTTCGATGTGGAACAAGAATCCCACCTTCGGAGGGTTTCCATCTCATCGATTAGTAAGGTAAACCGTGATGCTTTTTTTTTTTTTTTGTATGGAGTAACAGTCATTAGGTACACTAGAAATAATCGAGAGTAAATTTATACTTACTAATTGATATGAAATATATAATGGGATTTAAATAAGTGGGTCCATACAATACTAGCAAAAAAAAAATATATTAGTATCCAATTAGAACATACCATATTTCTCACTCTATCAATTTAGTAAACCATGTTTGGCATTCCTCTTCTATGTATGTCAATAAATCTAGAGTTTATCTGATGCAACTTATAAAAAAGCCAAAAAAGCTATCCTTTTCACTTTTTTACCAAAGTATAGAAAACTATCGAAGTAATAGAAGATTATGAAAAATTCATATATGAATATGTCAACATTTAGATTTTGTGAAATTTCAAGGGTTTAAGATAAAAAATAAAAATAAAAAAACGAAGAATATAATGTCGAAAAAGCATTGCGAATCTCACTCTTATTTCATGAAGCAACAAGGACACATAATCATGCTTTTAACCTTTATTCACGGAGTCTCAAATGGCTCTCCAACGTGAACAAGCATCGTGAATCTCGCTCTCACACATGATAACCCCCCGAATAATCACTCATTATTAAACTTTACTAATCTGGAAAATTAAAAAAAATTTAAATTACTTAGTCAACGGATGGAAGTAATTATATCCCCATCAATGAGTTTTCTTGTACTCAACAATCCGAATCCCCACAAGATAAAATCCCTCTAAATCGACAACTTGCACTAAACTTGATTCGCTTGTGTCTTTTAAATTCGATTTTCATACCCTTTGGCTGTGTTTGGCCGTTTGATTTTCATACCCTTTGCTTGCCATCTTCGAAACCAAAAAGAAATGACTTGTAAATGCAAAGGACCATCTGGTGGAGGACCACAGCGCAGAATATAAACATGTTGTAGCTGTCATGGCGAAATAGTCACGAGAATTATGTTTCTTTCCCCAATTAAATTAGCAAAAGTAAAATTACATCCCATTGGAGGATTCAATTGAAGAATTGAGCGCTATTTATGCAGAGAAAATGGTGACTAACGTGGGACACGAAAAGATCACTCCGCTTGCATTGAACTTTGGAAACTTGAAGCCTTCGAACAAAGCCATGGTAAGTTTTTCGTAATACGATTAGCAAGATACTAATTACCATGGCTCAATATCATATCGCGTATTACATGCCTGTTTTCAAACACAGTGATCAATTATTGATAGGTTTTCGTGATACGATTAGCAAGATTCTAATTACCATGATTATTTTTCCTATTACGTGAATCAAGCAATCCCTTCCTGAATTAGCTATTATTGAATCTTTTAAGTCGAGAATAATCGAGGCTATCGCAAGCTTGGTCTCATTAAGTGCTCGACTTTTAATTTTTCATCATTTAATTGGGTTATCCGAACTACGAGTGATCAGTTCCCTGGTGGACCGGTTCCCGCCTAGGAACCGGAAATAGGACTAGGGGGACTGGTTCCCAATTTCTAGAATTAGGAACTGGCCCACCTGGTCCTAAAACCGGACCGGGTGGCCAATGGAACCAGTAGTCCGAGTTTACCTTCCGATGCTTCATTGCCTTGCTTTTCTTACTCAATTCTCTTCGCTTCATTGCCCTCCAATGCTTCCTAAGCAGCTCGGTTTGTTTTGGCTGCAAGTTCTGGTGCTACGATGCAATTAGTTCGATCAGCCATTGTGGGGTTTGCGTTGCAAAACATGCTCGCCTAAGAATGTCCACCACGAGCAGGAGTGTTGTTAACTGATTTTCATGTTGCTTTGGTCTTTATCAGGATGAGATGGAAGCAGCAGTGGCTCAAGGGGTTGAGGAGAAGGAGGGAGCGAAAGCTAATACCTACAAAGAAGAGGCGAGCATAGGGTAATAGTCGCGAAGATTAAGAATGTGATTAGGGTTTGCGAAAGAGTTACTCGAAGAGGGTAAGAGTCGAGCAGCAAAGGGTATTAGGTAAGAGTTGAGTAGAGGGTAAGATGAAGAATGCGATTAGGGCTTTTTAGTTTTTATAGATTTCTAAGAAATTTAAAAATAAAAATCAATTCGCTCCTAGTGGTTTGGGTGGGCGGTTCCATATTGGAACCGGGAATCGGACTAAAAATCACTGGATTACGGACAAGCCCCGAATGTTATTTTCAAACACGCCCCTTTGAGTATTTGGCTCATAAACTTACATGCCATTACTAATTCGCACGTCTCCGATACGTTTACTCAAAACACGATTTTCGTAATTCTCACTATTCCGATAGACCTTTTATCGAGTCAAGAAAATAGTGAGAATGGTGCATTTATTCTCATGAAACCTATCACTTGCGTGAGATGATGACAACGCTCATCCTCCATATACCCTACAGAAGTGATCATGTTCTTTTGTTTTACAAAATCATTATCTTTTCAAGAGCGCAATTATACTGCATTGTTTTGAGTACCAAAAAGTCTTCCCTCCCTCTTTCCTTTTTAAAGGGTTTTCTTCCATGTTCCATCGTCCATATAAGTATGCCTCAAAGTCCAAGGACAAGGGGTCTAATTGTTGTTGGTTTTCAGCCACCACTTTTTCAAGCTTTGCATGGTGAATGAAAAGGGTACTTCCGCTTCCCTTGGATGTTATTTAATAAGCCCTAATCATGCTTTATTATTCTAAGTAAAGCTAATCTCTTCGTTTCTCTATATAGTGGAAGACAATGCCTTATCCATAATCAATCAATCATTTAGAAGATTGCCCCCAAGGAGTGAACAGATGCTATGCGATCTTGCCTACCTCTTTTCTATTTGATAATTCGAAGCGAAAAAAAAAAGTTTTAACAATGATATTCAACATAGACTTATTCATTGAGTTCAATTTTTTTTTTTTTTTAAACTAGGGTCCCATTTTTGCTAGGGTCACGTCCCCATGATGAACTAGAATTTGGTGGGACAAAATAAGAATTTCGAATTTCAAACCGAAAAAATAAAATAAAATAAAATACAGAATAGAAAATAGCGGCTTCATCATCACTTATTTGCACACAACGACACATCAATAATAATGCTCCCCATGCCAAAGAGAGGATGGACAATTTGCATGC